ACTGCATATGTAGTGAGGTATAAAATCATATATGCACATGTGTATACATTTTGGTATATGGTAGGATACATTCCGAGCTGCCGGGTTGCCGTTTGAAAGAGAATATGCATTTGAGATTTTGATGGGATCCTCAAGTTGCCATCCACAGAGACCGCCACCTTATCTTCGTACCAGCAATGTGCCGAGAGTGACCATTTCGTTGTTTGTCAACTGAGAAAAAATCGGAGTCTTTATCCATCGGATAGGCCATACATGTTACTGTAGTGTTCTCAAATAACCAAGTGATTTATGCCTCTACCCATTTTATCCTATTGTTACCACCTGGCACAACTGGTACATTTAACACCGCTGGTCTTGTATGCCATCAACTGGCTTCGGACACATGGTGGACCCCATATGTTTTATAGACTGTAGTAGTTATGGGAGCAGACGGCCAGGCTTTTTCTCTGAGGGAGTGGCTTGTGAGTTCGTTCAAATTGCTGACCTATGGTCAGCAGCTGAGCGCTTAACCACTGGCCACCACACCTAATAAACCAATATTCAAAACCAAAAACTATTACTGTCAAATGGACTCTAACTGATGGTGAACCCATGTCTGTGGGAGTAGAATTGTGGCTTATAGCATTTAATTAGCCAGGATTAGCACACCTAAAATTCATTGTTATTTGTATTTCTTCCATTTCCCCCTAATGTTCTTGTTTCTAGTCCAGGCTTGTGGGGATGGCATAGGACTGTTTCCTCGTTATCGTGGGCTTGCTATGGGAACCAGCTGGGCAGACCCTAACAATAACAAAGCATAGATACCACATTTCATTTAGTTGTCCTATCTCCTTAGGTTGTGACCCTTTCTCAGACTCCCCTTGTTTGTGATAACCTTGACAGTTTGGAGTACTTGTCAGTTGTTTTGTGGACCATGTATTTTTAAACTTTCATCCCATTTATAAGTGAGCTTGAATGTCTTTTCAGATCCACAAGGACATTTGTGTTTCCATTTCTGGAAACTAAGAAGAGCTCATGCTCTTAGCCACTAACCTATATCTCTCTTGAGTCTCCATAGCAAGTTACCCATACATGGGTCTGAATGCTTAGGGAGTTCTGATCCTGAATCAAAGGACTGATATGCTTGTTTGGGAGATAAGTTTCTGTTAGAAATGAAGCATTAGGGGACTGATGAAGTCAGGTGGACTGCAGAGGATGGACTCGAGACACAACTGGGAGATTGGACAATCAACTCTTACTGACATTGGTCCATGGAGACGCAGCGTTTATCTGCCCCGGTGGGTAGAACTGCCCCTGTGAGTTTTCGGGACTAGAAAGCCCGTCTTTCTCCCACGAAGAGGTCAAACTGCTGACCTTGCAGTTAGCAGCCCAACGCATAATCACTACACAGCCAGGACTCCTGGACCAAAGGGAAAGCAAACTTACTGCCATCTAGTTGAAAGCGGCTCCGCTTTGCAGTTGGAAACCACCAGGCACTCACTGAATGGAAGACGGAGCTTTCTCCTCCCTTAACGAGTTAGTCTCAGAAACTCACAGGGGCAGGTCTACCCTGTCCTCCAGTGTTGCTGTGATTCAGGCTCCTGGAAGGTCAGTTAAGCAGAAACAAATGGCAGGGAGAGAGGGGTCAGGATTTAGTGAAAATTGGATAAGAGAGACAAGAAGGCAAAGACAACTTTGAGATTTTTGAGTTGGATATCCTAGATTTTGCCTTTAACTCATAGAATAATATCCAGAGAACATTTTATTTCATTTTTAAAATCATTTTATTGGGAGCTCGTACAACTCTTAGCACAATCCATACATACATCCATTTGTGTCAAGCACATTTGTACATTTGTTGCCCTCATCATTGTCAAAACATTTGCTTTCTACTTGAGCTCTTGGTATCAGCTCCTCATTTTTTCCCCTCCCTCCCCGCTCCCCTCTCCCTCATGTACCTTTGATAATTTATAAATTATTATTTTGTTATATCTTACACTGTCCAACGTCTCCCTTCACCCACTTTTCTGTTGTCCGTCCCCCAGGGAGGAAGTTATATGTAGATCCCTGTAATCAGTTCCCCCTTTCCACCCTACCTTCCCTCCACCCTCCCTGTATAGCCTCTCTCACCACTGGTCCTGAAGCAATCACCTGTCCTGGATTCCCTGTGTTTCCAGTTCCTATCTGTACCAGTGCACATCCTCTGGTCTAGCCGGATTTGTAAGGTGGAATTGGGATCATGATAGTGGGGGGAAGGAAGCATTTAAAACTGGAGGAAAGTTGTATGTTGCATCGTTGCTACACTGCATCCTGACTGGTTCGTCTTCTCCCCGCGACCCTTCTGTAAGGGGGTGTCCAGTGGCCTACAGATGGGCTTTGGGTCCCCAATCTGCACTCCCCCTCATTCACAATGATATGAATTTTTGTTCTTTGATGCCTGGTATCTGATCCCTTCGTCACCTTGGGATCACACAGGCTGGTGTGCTTCGTCCATGTGGGTCTTGCTGCTTCGCAGCTAGATGGCCGCTTGTTTATCTTCAAGCCTTTAAGACCCCAGACGCTTTATCTTTTGATAGCCGGCACCAGAGAACATTTGAACAATGTATACCACACAGGGTTTACTGAATGCCTAGTTTCTCTTTCTATTGCTTTAGCTCAGCGATACTACAACTCCCAGGGTTCCCCGTTCCACCACAATCCCCTTTGAGTCGGCCGCTCAGGGTTCTGGGACCGGTAGTGCGAGCCCTATTTACCCAAGTTCGAAATAGGGGCCTGTGGAAGCATGAAGAGGTAAGGGTTTGTCTGAGGAGCCGGCGGCGAGCGGAGCTCTTTTCTCCCTTTTTACTTTTAAAAAATGGGTTTTATGCATTTCTGTTTGGGGTGTGTCACTTTGTCGGGGTGCCGTTTCATGTGAGCGGTGCCACAAAGGAGCAGGGAGGAGGGGAGGCGGGCGAGGCAGGCCTGCAGGACGAAGTTCAGGAAGGGCAGAAAGGGGTGCCAGCTTACAGAGGAATGTCTTGCTGGCACAGATTTGTAAGCCAAGTGGCTGGCTTTAAGAGCCGAATGGATGCTGTGGCCTCTTGCTGTTTTCTGACGGACCCGGCGGGGCAAAAGGGTCTGGGCTGACCGACACCATATGCCGGTGGGACCTGGGACAGCCCCTGCCCCATTTGCCGTAACTCCGCTTCGGCGTGGGACTCATGTTTTGTCGTGTTGGTGCGTGGAGGGAAAGTCGCTCCGGCCCCTCGGGAAGCACGCAGTGCTTTGACATTGTAACAGAAAGTGCTACTTTGCTTCTACCCATTGAGAAGGCAAACACAAAGCCGGGTTGATGTGTTACAAACAAAAGCATTGTTGCGAGCAGTTCCCCCTACTGGTTGTGCGAGGAAAGGCAGCTTTTTCATGGAGTTGGTCAATGTGGTGAGCCTGAACTTCAATTCTTGACAGTTGCACACACCGCTTTTTTAAAGGCGTCTCATTCAATTAGTTGTGTAATCACTCTGCATGTAAAATCATCACGCTCGAATAGTGCAACGAGTTTAAAATCTCGATATGCTCTCCTGCTCTGCCATTTCCATGCATCTTTAAAAGGAAACCAGAAACTTTCTGATCTTTTTCCTGTTTGAAAATAACCTTTTAAATTCTGTACGTATTCATTCAAAAACGTGTGTTTTGCATGCAAAATATATATATATTTAAGATCTCTGTTTCTGGCTTCATCAAAACCCCAGTATGAAAGGCTTTTTTAAGTGGAGGTGTTTGATTTAGAGCATAATACTAAACACTCACATCCACTCTAAACTTAAGAAAAATGGCATTGCTGGTGCCTTAGAAGCCACAGCTGTGGGCCCTTCGTGACTGCTGCTTCTCCTTCCTCTCCTCCCCAAAGTAACCACTCTCCTGAATTTTGGTTTCATCATTGTTATCAACAACAGCAACATTTAAAACAAATATCTTAATTTAGACCTTCACAATATGCTAGTAGCTTGGGTCCATTTGCATCTTTATAGAAATTAATGAGTCTTGTTATGAATTTTAATGGATTTCTCACTCAATATTTCTGTTTGACATTCATCTTTTTGAGATTGCTGTAGTGACTCATTTTTTTTTTCATATCGAAGCCACTTTCAACTGAACAAGGACTTGCTAACCAGTAAATAAAACTTAAAGGTACCCAAAAGGGCAGTTATAAACCCTGGGCCTAAGGATATGTTCTTGATTCCCAAAATAGGCCCAAGCCTTTTTGGATGTGGGAATCTGGTTTTTATGGAGGGGATACTTTTTCTAGGCTTCATCAAGTCCCTACTCAGTAAAAGGCTGTCATGTAAGCACTATGTTTAATGTTTATTTTCCCGATGGAGTTACCCCTTTGTGCTGTTTTTGCTATTTGTTGCAGCTAGCATTCCTTAGCTTTCTACATAGCCACGCCTAAGCTATCAAATGTTCCTACTCTGTTTACATTTCTTTCTATGTTTTCTCCCTCATAGTTTTCATCTACTCTCACAGATCCAAATCTTGTCAACACAGATGACCTTTAGATTTCCGTGTACCACCTCAGATTCTCATCTAAGCAACACTTCTCCCATCTCTCTGTTTCCTTTTAGCCAGTAACACTTATAGCCACTATTACTTGCATTTAAGAGGCCTTTGAAACATTTCTGATCCACCATGCCAGTGTTTTAGTGGTAGTAGGTAGCTGACTTGGCATGGATAAAACAATATTGGCCTTTCCTTTCCCAAATTATTGATTCCACTTGGGCCTTCCTCTTTTCATCTCTCAGTTCCACAGCATATGATTTGGGAGTAATAATTGACCTGTCCTTTACCCCCACTTCCCCAAAGGCCCACTCATCTAACTCTTCCCTTCATGTCTATTACCACTCCATCCATTTAGGACCTTCATCTCCTTCTACCTCATAAATCTCAGTGGTTTCCTATCTAGTTCTTTTGGTTTCTTCCCTTCTAATCCATATCACATATTTCAACCACATTCATCTTCCTTTTAAAACATCACTGGCACGATGTCGCTTAGCTCCCAAGCGAGTTACTTTCCAACACTTACAGATTTAAGTCCAGGCCCCTTCTGTGGTAGATTTAAAGGTATACATCATTGGAGCCACATTTATCTCCCAAGATTATTTCCCATTACAGCCATACAGGAATGTCAGCTCAATGAAACTGCTCGTTATCCTGCACTCTTCTTTCCTTGATCACAACTTAGCCTTCAGTGGCCGCTTTAACAATTACCTGTCCAAAGTCTTCACCAGGTAGCTCCCACTTCTCTCTGTCTTCTGTGAACCCCTACTAATTTGGCAATATGCTTCTACTTTGTATTGTTATTCTCTCTACCTCTCCGTATAGGAGTGTGTGTAAGCTTGAAGATAGGGACTCTGTCTAAAGTGTTTTAACGAGCATAGCCATCATTAATGAGCATAATGCATTCTATGTAGTAGGAGCTTTTGGTTTTCTTTGTGTGTATATGTGTACATGTGCTTTGTTTTGTTTCTTTTTTTTTGATACAGCATTATTAAGGTAAAACTCACATACTAACTTCTTTCCCTTAGAATAATGTTCTTATTCATGATCTTCTACTTAGGGGTAGGTATTTAGTAAATACTTATGACTGACTGCATGACCAAGGGTACTAAGTTGTTGGGGAAGTGTGTCTGAACAAATACGGTCACTAGTGGTAGAGAACAGAGAAATATATCTTTTCAGACTGTCTTCTACTTTCTGTACTGTGTTTTTAATTTATCCCAGGGTAAACAGCTGTGTCAAGAGTGATGAGCATGTCCTGGAGGAGTTGGAAACAGAAGGGGAGAGGCAGCTGAAAAGCTTGCTTCAGCATCAACTTGATACCTCCGTCTCTATTCAAGAGTAGGTATCGATTTTTTTTCAAACAAGAGAGAGTATTGTAGACGCTCCCCTTCAAGTGGCAGCCCCCTCTGGAAGGACCATTCTTCTCCCACCCTGTAAGCTTAGAAAACTTCTACTTTGTACACAAGATTGGATTCTGGGGCTCTTCCTTCTCTAGCCCATTCTTTCTGGGTTAAATACAATTCCTATGTCCCATGTATTCCCCCCAACACAGTAGGTATAACCCAATGTTATCGCTGTCCGTGAACGTGACTTTTCCACAAAATTAAGAAACATTTTTCCCCTCTGTTTAATAATTTAATCCTCAATACTGAGCACAGCAACTGATGCATAGTAATTACTTCAAAATTTTGTTGATCCTGTCATTTTTGAATCTTAAAACTATTGCCACCAAGTCACTTCCAGTTCATAACCACCTTATAGGACAGAGTGGAACTGCCCCTTTGGGTGACTGAGGCTGTAAATCTTTACGGGAGCAGACAGCCTCATCTCTCTTCTGCAGAAACCTGGGGAGTTTGAACTGCTGACCTTGTGGTTAGCAGCCAAACATGCAACCACTATGCCACCAGGGCTGCTTCTAAATCCTAGAGGGGGCTGTTGCTGGAGTTGCCCTTCACTGCAGTGGTGTATCAGCCTGGAAACAGGATGTATGAGAGATATTGACTGATGAATTTCTTAGACCTCTTATAAGCAGATCCCCCGTTTCTGTGCATTTTGGCAAACTCAAGGCATTATCTTACACTCCTCCTGCTTGTTTTGCAGATGCATGTCTAAGAAAGAGAGTTTTGCTCCTGGTACTTTGTACAAACCTTTTGGGAAAGAAGCGGCTGGGACGATGACTTTGTCCCAGTTCCAGACCCTGCATAAAAAGGACCAGGAAACAGCTTCTCTCAGGGAACTAGGGCTCAATGAAACAGAGATCCTAATCTGGAAAAGCCATGTTTCAGGTGAAAAGGTAAGTAGGGCAGTGAAGAGCAGGAATTCTTCCTTGAATCTTGAGAAACTTTGTATTTTTAGTTCTCACAAAACTGAGCTCTGTGTGTGGGCCTAGGCTGGGGAGTTTGGTAAAAGAGAAGCCATTCTTGACTTTTTAGCCACCACTTCTAGAACTGTTCCTTTCCTAGGCCCTGCTTGTCATCTTATTTCTTCCTTGAGGTGATCAGCTCAAGGCGTGGCCTGTGTGAGAGATGCCATCTGATTTCTCTGGTTTCAGAGGACAAGACTAAGGGCAACCCCTGAAGCAATACAGAACCGTCTTCAAGATATTGAAAAACGGATCACAGAGCGTCAGCACATCCTTTGCTTGCCACAGAGATTTGCAAAGAGCAAGCAGCTGACTCGGCGAGAAATGGAAATTGAAAAGTCTTTATTTCAGGGTGCTGATCGCCACTCCTTCCTTAAGGCGCTTTATTACCAAGGTAGGTGTTCCCTAATGACTCTGATGTGTTCTTCACTGCGAGAAAGACTGAAAAAAGCTCATTAAACATGAGAAGTTGGTGAAGGGAATAAGAGAAGACAAGAAATTCTCTCTACTTCTGCGGAAAGTATAGCCCCATGGGAGAGATAAATATGCAAACAGATAGTTGCAATTCAACCTGGAAATTGCCAGTATATGGGGATGTATAGAAAATGCTGAGGGAACCCAGAACATAGATTATCTTAGTTCACTTGGGGGACTCAGGAGTTGACATTTGCACTGAGTCTTGAAGGCTTTTGTCAGGGAAATAAGGGCAAAAGGACATTACAGATAAAGCTGATTAGGAACAGACCTATGAAAGGTTCTGCTGTGTGTAGGGGTAAGGTCTATACACGGTAGGAGCCTAAAGCATGGCAGGGAATGACAGCAGATGGCACTGGAAAGGTACAACAGACTAGATTGTGAAGGGTCTTTATGCTCAGCTATGAATTAACACAAAATATGTAGCTTCACAGTAGGTGTCTTAACCTGAAAGTATTCATTTGGCAGGTATATTTTGTGAGGCACTTGGAAGGTTCACAGGAACCCTGGTGGTATAGTGGTTACACGTTGGGCTGCGGTCCACATGGTTGGCAGCTCAAAACCACCAGCAGCTCCATGGGAGAAAGGCTGGGCTTTCTGCTTCTGTAAACTGTTAACCTTCTCTAGCCCACAGGGGGTCACTAAGAGTCAACATTGACTGATGGCAATGAGTTTGGGGTTTTGTTTTTTGATTTTTGGAAGGTTCACAGAAGTTTAAGGAGTGGTGCCAATTATAATCTGGTTAGAAAGGAAATTTAGACTATTGAGTAAGAATGTTAGATAGAGTTGAGTTGTTCTGGACTGTAAGAGTTCAGAAGAGGGACATGCCATTGTAGTGGTGGCTGAAGAAGTCTTCTCAGAGGAGGTAAGATTTACTCACTCACTGCCATTGAGTCAATTCTGACTCATAGCAACCCTATAGGACAGACATAATAGAACTGCCCTGTGGATTGCTGAGACTATAACTCTTTACGGGAATAGAAAATCTCATCTTTTTCCAGTGGAGAGGCTAGTGATTTCAAATTGCTGACGTTGAGGTAACCCACTAAGCCACCAGTGCTTACGATTTAAGTGATCTCTTAATACTACCCGTTCTTTTGAAAGAGGAAGGAACACATCAATTACAAAGGATAATGTGAGCACTAATGAAGTGTTTGGGAGAATTGTGAGAAATGAGGTTAAAAAGGTAGGTTCGAATCAAATACTGGTGGATTTTATAATGAGCAAAAATGAATATTATGTAATAGTTAAGGTAATTGTTTACAGAGTTAGTGTGAGTATGGTTGAAGATTTTAAAATCTGGAATAATCTAATAAAAGCAAATATTTTCAAATGGTTCATCTGGAATCCAATAAATAAAATTAATTAGAGAGAGGAAGAACTGGTGGTGTGCAGAATGGTTAGGGGGTATTAATAATCATTGAGGCATGAGGGTCTGGTCTAGAATGATGGCAATTGAATTAGAAAGAAAGAGAAATTACAAAGGAAGCATTAATAAAACTTACTGACAGAGAATAACATAGGAAGCTCATTGGGGAGGAATGTGTCAAAGAAAAGTCAAATGTTTCTAGATTCCAGGGCTCATCAATTGACAAAATTAAAGTCTTATGAAGAAATTGTAAGGAAATATGTTGAACTCTTGGTTGTAGTAGGTTTATTAAATGCAGATATTGGAGAGGCACCTGGAAATGCATCATAGAAGGGCAAAAGCGCAGTCAGTACTATATATAAATAATTGGGAATTATCTATGCTTAGATTACAGTTAAGCTGTCAGAATGAATCAGTTATTTAAGATAAGCACCATAAACTTGAAAAAGCAGCAGTGAGAAAGGAAGAATAAACAAATGGGTAGATTTTTGTCAAAAGAAGTGATAGCCTACTGATTAAGAAATCGGCTAACTGACTGCCTGGGAAAGTCCTGGCTCTTCCACATACCAGCTATGAGATGTTGGGCAAGTTACTGTGTGTTCTGTCTTAGTTTCTTCAACTGCAAAGTGAGAAGATTCAAAGTTAGCCACATTACAGGAATAGTGTGATGAATGAATCAGGTAATACATGGAAACCACTTCGAATAGTACCTGATATTTGGAGAGAGGTGGATGAATCTCTTCTGTTTCCTATCTTTGAAATGCTTTGCTTTAAACCTTCGCAGCATACAACAAAAAGACAAGTGCAGACAAGTACATGACCTCAATGAAGAAGATAAAATTAGGCAACAAAAGGCAAGTTGAGATTTTTCTTAAAGTGTTAGATTTAGGAATATAGCCTAGGATCCCAGATATCTGAGTTAAGGACTTATTTCACTCCATATTCAATAGATGACGATGTTTATAGGAAATGATGATCTAGATCAGTGGTTCTCAACCTTCCTAATGCCGTGATCCTTTCATAAAGTTCCTCATGTGGTAGTGACCCCCCAGCCATAAAATTATTCTCATTGCTACTTCATAACTGCAATTTTGCTATTGTTGTGAATCGGGCGACCCCTGTGAAAAGGTCATTCGACCCGCACAAAGGGGTTGTGACCCACAGGTTGAGAACCGCTGATCTAGAGGGAGCATTTCCTGATAGTAGATATTAAAGAGAGGAGTTAGAAATTGCAAAGCTTTTACATTTAGTGTTGTTAATTGTTTTTTTCTCTAAACCTTACATTAGTGTACCATCTATAAATTGACCTTAATGATTTTAAATACTATTTCACAACTAATTTTGAGTATTTTTATTATTCAGAAAAGTATAACTATTGATAATCATGGTTATGATAAGAATATAATTGATATTTTTGAAATTTACTTACAATAAGATAGATTCTTTTTTTTTTAAATGTAACCATTACTACAATCAGAAAACAGTTCCATTATAGTAAAAAGAAATTTACTCAGACTACCTCCAGCCTCTACCCTATTTATAATCCCTTCCAACCACTGACCTTTTCTCCATCACTACAGTTCTGTCTTTTAGGGAATGTCATAAAAATGGAATTGGATAATCTGTAACCTTGAGCCTGGCTTCTTTCGCTCAACATCATGCCTTTGAGCTCCACTCACATGTTATGTAGCAATAGTTCCTCTATTCTGCTGAGCAGCATTCCGTTGCATAGATGTACGAAAGCTGACCCAGATACACATTGCAGTGTATTTGGTTCATTTCCAGATGTTGTACAGGATTTTTATGTGGACGTAAGTTTTTATTCCTCTATGGTAAATCCCTAGGAGTGGGATTACCGGGTCACATGGTGTTTGTATAAAAGAAACCGTCCAATCATTTACCACAAGTCAGTGTACGAGAGCTGAGTTGCTCCTGCCCTTTTGTCATCGTGGTATTGTTGATATTTATCTTAGTTACTCTAATAGGTGTGTGATGGTATCTCATTGTAGTTTTAATTTTCACTTTCTTATGGCTAATGATGTTGAATATCTTTACATATGCTTATCTGCACCTTATATCCTCTTTGCTGACGGGTATTTTAAAATATTTTGCTGCTTTTTAATTGGGTAGCTCATTTTCTTCCTGTTGAATTGTGAGATTTCATTATGTATTCTAAAGAGAACCTTTTGTTGACTACGCAATTGACAATTTCCCTCAGTCTGCGTCTTGCCTTGTTTTTTTGAACAGTCTTTCACAGAGCAAATATTTTAAATTTGGATTAAAATATAAATTAACATTTTTTGTTTGTTTATGGATTGTGCTTTTGTTATTAAGTCTCAGGACTCTTTACCTAACACCAAAAACAAAACAAAACGAAAATCTTAAATCCATTGCCTTTGAGTCAGTTCCGACTCATAGCAACTCTATACAGGATTTCTAAGGCAAAATCTTTACAGGAACAGACAGACTAATCTTTCTTCCTTGGAATAACTGGTGGGTTTGGGCCACCATGACCTAACATGAGGTCATGGAAAATTTTCCTTCCTGTTTCCTTTTAAAAGTCTTAAAGTTGCACATTTTACATTGAAATCTATGATCCGTTTTGACTTGATGTTTATATGTAAGATAAGAGATTCAAGATTCACTGTTCGTGTGCAAGAATATCCAATTTTTCCAGTACCAATTACTGAAAAGAGTAATATTTTCCCATTTATTTGCACTTGCCTTTTATCAGAAATCAACCTTTAAAAATTTTTTTTTCAGAAATCAACCTTATCTGTGTGTTAATATTTAATATCATAACTAGTAGTGAAAGATTGAAATCTTTCCTTCTAGGATCAGGAACAAGACCAGGATATCTACAACTTCTTTTTACAATGGAGGGATGTTAGAATTCAATAACAGTAGGCTATTCAGGAAATTTCTAAGTAATGGAAATTAAACAACACAATGGCAGTGTTTCCCCAGTAGGAGATACCACCCTCTGGGAAGTACTGGAAGGATCCAGGGGGTCTACACTTTATCTGATTTATGGGCTGTAGTACAAAAATTTAATTGCCAGGGGGAGGCTGAGCACTTTTTTGGTTGTTTTTTTTCTAGAAAGGGGGCTGTAGACCAGTAAGTTTGGGAATAGTCAGTGGACCAAACAGAGAACACAAAGCAAATTAAAAGTTACTTTGAGATGAAATAAAGCAAAAGCACAACATACTGAAACTTACAGAATGCAATTGAAGTAGTATTTAGAGGAAATTTTATAACCATAAATGCCCATATTAAGAAGTAAGAGCTGAAGTCAGTAACCAAAGCTTTTGCCTTAAGAACATAGAAAAAGAAGAGCGAGTTGAACCCAGATGAAGCAGATAGAAGGAAATAAAGATTACTGTGAAAATAAATTAAACAGAACAGTAAAACATCTATGTAACCAAAAGTTGATTCCCTGAAATGACCTACAAAATTCATAATTCTTTGGCTAGACAGACCAAGGTAAAAAAAGCAAGACTTAAATTACTAAACCCCAGTTCTACTCTGATTACTATTTTATTTTATTTTAT